TCTGGTATAGGCTAAGGGTTCCAGGGTCCCAGCGGCACATCCCCACCCAGAAATTCTTAAAGTACCCCCCAGGGGTTTAGAAACACCTTTTGTCCTGATAAGCGTCAGTGCTTTTTAGCGGGAAAATCCCATCCTTCGTTGCTTCGTTCCTTCGAGATACTGGGTACCCTATTTGCTACGATTTGCCATTATTTGCCACTATTCGCCACTATTCGCCACTATTCGAGACTGTTCGCCACTATTCGCACTAATCGCTATTCGGGACTATTCGCTGTTCGCTATTCGCGACTATTCGCTATTCGCTATTCGGGTTTTCCAGCCACCCTTTTACGAGAGGAGGGCAAAGGGGAATATAGCAGAGTCATTTTATGCGGCCTCAGAGAGAGAAACTGAGGGAGAAACACACACAGAGACACAGAGAGAGACAGAGACTATAGCAAAAAGCATTCTTAATTCATTGGAATCCCTACCCTCCTTTTTAAGAAGAGAATTTGTGAAAAAAAGTTCATACAAAGAAAAAAATGAGAAGTCCTCATTTTTCGGTCGAGGAGCTTCCTCTTTCCAGTCCTTTTCAGTCTGAGCAATCCAATATGGCGACGATTTACCGAACCAATCAGATTGAACGACGTCACAGCGTCGAACGAAAATCAACTGAAAGGAACACGGATATTTACATGAAAGAGAGCAACTACAAACCTGACTTTGTTATTTCAATCAAATAATACAAGTCAGGCAGCATGAGTGGTTACACAATCTTAGGATTGTTTTGTAGTTTTATTGTGTTTCTGGCCTTGCCTTCGGCTGTGAAATCCGTAGAGGTAAACCTGAAAATCGGTATTTTATCTAGAGTTTTTCATCCCACGATCGATCCAGCCATGTTTGTCTACATGTGAATCGACCTTCAAACACGAAGATTTTTTTCCATTACAGTCTAAAACCTTGAGTGTCCCAGAATCTTTCCTGTTTATCTCCACTTTGGATGGTACAATGCATGCCGTGAAGAAACAGACTGGAGAAATAAGGTGGTCACTTAAAGAAGGTGAGAATATTTCCCCGTACTAATTGTATATTTTAAGTGAATACTAGTCTTACTATGGTACGGAAGTCGTTGCCTAGGCTTATTTTTGGCAGTGAAGTTAGGAGCATGTTTAGAAGCCATTCTGTGTTTTTCAAATCTGATTTCAATTAATTTATTGGTAGAAAGCCTAACCTTAAGCTTGAATTAATTCTGTGGAATTTTGCGATAAACTTCAGCGGCCGATGACTGCAACATGATCACAAACTTTTTTCGTGGGTTGATATTTTACTGAAGGTTTATGCTTGCAAGTAAGGTATCTTCTTTCACTTCCTTATTTTTAGTGGTTTGTATTCAGATCTGTTTAAAGCTGGTATTATCGTTTGGTTTAATTAGGTTTTAAGCATTTTAAAAGAAATTCTCGATCTCTGCTTTTAAAGATCCTGGATATCTATCGAAATCTGCAAATTAACGTCATCGTTGAAATTTCGTAGTCT